TGTGTAAATTAGTAAATAATAAAAGGTAATTAAGATCGAATTTTTTGAGCATGTTGATAGGTAAATCTGTGAGGGCCTTTTATTTTATCTCTTTATTTCTTTTTAGAAAGATTTTATTTATTTGACAGAGAAAAGCACAAATACGGGAGCAGCAGGTAGAGGGAGAGGGAGAAGCAGGCTCCCCTCCTCGATCATGACCGAGCCCAAGGCAGAGGCTTAACCAGCTGAGCCCCCTAGGCATCCCTATGAGGTCCTTTTAAAGAGAACATCTTTGATACTAACCTGAACTCCTTGCCTGGCTTTCAGCCCTTCCCAACTTAATCTGACCCTTGGTGAAAATGTGGTTCTGCCCAAACATAAGGAAATCTGTCCAGGCGGCATGTTGATCAGGGTTGGTTGAATGGCAGAATAATCGAGAATTCCCTGAAGACCTTTCAGGAAACCTTCCACAAGAAATGTAGTTTGGGGGACCAGACAATTTCCTTTCAGTTTGTACAGGAGAGAAATGATTGGGTGTCATCCTGACAATGGGATTTTTTTACCCTTTTAAGATGGTGATGCGGGGGTGGCACGCGTGTTAGGGCATGGGCACGGAAGACACAGAACTGAATAAAAGGCATAGGAACAAAGGTAATTTAAGTTAAAAAAATTACAATTAATTGAAATTGGAGACTACTTTTTAAGTGCCTTGGAATACAAAGACCCTGTGTAGTTCGTGGTCGAACTGAATGTTACTCGTTGAAGGCCAAGGAGCAATGTGTTGGGAAGGCACCTGAATCAAGCTTGATGCTTTGAACACTGTTTCTGAGAGCATCAAAGAAAGCTATTCAGTGGGAGAGGATATGACCATGTGACCAGGATGCAGTATTGAGACCCATGGGTAGTATGATTGAAAAGCCTTTTTATCTCAGTGTGAAGAAGATGCTTATAAGGGACAGAAACCTAACCCCTGACAGGGATGTGCTGATGAAAGGTCGCTGCCAGTATCACTTTCTTGGCATGGGGAGACCAAACCAAGACAGTTGGAAGGCTTAATCTATGTGGGTCAGCAGCTACTGAGGAGACAGGAGAATCGGGAGGCTCTTTTGATTGTCGCTAGAATTGACCGACTGTGCTGCAGTGAATGAAGGGAAGAGGTTTGTATGAATTCTGAGGAGCCGTGCAGGTAAGGGAGGAGTCGAGAGTTCTCTAAGAAAAGCAGTTAGGCCAGGTCATGGATCAGGGAGGACCCACATGGACATTTAATCTGAGCAGGAGTCCAATTTTAAAAAGAAAAAAAATGTAGATATCAAAAAAGGTAATGCAAGAAAGGTCTTGTTCCTCTCGTAACTATTCTTCCAGTTAGGCCAATTGAGAGGGTTCACAGAAGGACATGGAGATTTGCTGGACAATAACAGCCCATGAAAGAGAGACTTTCATTTCCAGGATCAGCTGGGATCAAAGATGGGATGGACAGATCTTATCTGGGCTTAGAAAGAGCTGCGGCAACTCTTGAATATAAGCGAAGAGGACTTCACACCGATTTTCTTTCTGCCAGCGTGTGGGAAGACCACGGTGTCAATTAAATGTATCGACTTCATGGAATTTTAAGTATTATCCCATCTTCGAATTAAAATAAGAGCCAAAGTATAACAAAACCAACTTTTCTCTTTGCCTGAAATGAATCGTAAAAGTAGAGACTATAAGATGAAAGTTGTAACAAAAGAATTTTTGGAATAAAGAAAAATGTGTGTTTGGCACCTTTTGTCTGCAATTGCTACAACAAATATCTTGTCTTCTTTAAAAGGTACGGCCTTACCCACATATTATGGATGGGTTTCCAGACCGTGACTACAGAATGAGCAGACTCATTTTGTTGGTGGTTTTGTGCCAGAAATTGCGAAGGAAGGGAAGGAGCTGGCTAACTTCTCGTGGAACACTGAGGGGTGCTCAGCCACTTAAGCCTTCCTGGGAGCGAATGTTACGAAAGAGTGGTTTGTTGCCATTTCCTTGAGCAACTTCCATATTTCAGTACTTAACCCGTAAGCCAAGCATCTTTCCCAAGACTGCCTCATTTCCGAATTCAGATGAATAAAGAGGGTATCAGATTTGCTGCTCTGTTACTGGGCAGACAGGAGGACTTTGAGGGTCTGGTATGAAGCCACAGTACGTTAGCCTGGCTTTTTGGCTAAGAGGTCCTCGCAAGAAAGGTTCTTCATAGATGGAACACCAGCCTCTCGAGCTGGAGTTTTTTGTTACTCTTTTGTCTTTGATTCAGAAGGGCATCTAGAGGGAGAAGATCTTTAACTTTTTACCCAGTGTGCATTTTCATCTGGTTACTTTCGAGAGAATATTCTGCCCTTTTAATAAAAACAGTGAAGTGTAAGGATCTTTCTGCAGTGGGAGGAGTTAGGGTCCCGGGATCAAGTCACCCATACCTGCTTTAACCAGTACCTCGAGCAAGAATACCCAGGAGAGAAGATGTTCTCGAGCAGCGTTAATAGTGTGGGTAGCAGTCTGGTCCTCCAGCCAGTAGTTGGTCTCTTTTGAGAGGTGGGATTGTGGATTTCACTGTTCCCAGGGCTAACCCTCCCAGTGGTGTGGAATGTGCAGCCTCTTCCGGCAGATCGTTTTGGAGCAGAGGGTTGTAATTCAGATGGAGCCTAGAGATGAACGTGGTCGAGCCACTGCAATCACTCCATAGCCGTCTTGATTCTGCAGGGCCCCCTACCTGGACTCCAGTGCTGTTCACTTTGAGACGGGGTTTGGGAAGGCACCTGTTTGTTTTCTGGGTAGTAGGTTCCCTATAAATTCCAGTCAACCTTCCTTTTCCTCATTTCTTCCTTTGAGCATGTTGTGGTGAAACTCACTGGCTGGGGAGTCAGCTGAGTTGCAAGGACACATGAGAGTCACCTGGCTTTTCTGATCCTCAGTTTCGCCCATGGTGGTGGCATTTCTCATCTTAAAGCGTGGAGGCAAGGACTGCTTGGGTAGAACTTGAGGCCACTGTAGCTCATTATAGATGCTCGGAGGGTGATGGTGCCCCCCCTTCTTTTCCTTTTCTTCAAAGCCTCATGTATATCTGTATCTGAACCAGCCTCTGAGGTGTTGATCAGTGCGGGCTGCTGATCAGATATTTTGGTTTAAATGAGAAACAGTATTGAATAAAGCTAATGTCCATTGGAATAGCCACACCAGGCTTAGTCATAGAAGTTAGGACATGTATTTCGGTATGCGGTCTGCTCTGCTATTATGTACCTGTTCCTAAAAATCACCATGAAGTGTAAAAAAAAATGCAATAAAAACTATAGGGCTTACAGGAAAAGAATGAGTTAGGGGTATAACCCTCAAAAAGGTATCAGTGACAGGGGCATCTGGGTGGCTCAGTTGGTTAAGCATCTGCCTTCAGCTCATAATCTCAGGGTCCTGGGATCGAGCCCCGCATCAGCAGTTAGTCTGCTTCTCTCTCTCCCTCTGTGATCTCTCTCACTCTCTCATATAAATATATAAAATCTTTTAAAAAACGTGTCATTGACACCCATGAAAAACAGGAACCTAATAATGGTGGTAGCAGAGTTTTACCCATGTTAAATGGCTGAGGTACATAACACTATAATAAGTGTGTGTTTCCGTGAAAAGACCTGAGGTGTGCTTATGGAAGCGGGTGTCTGAAAAGTGTGAGCTTGTGAGTGTTGTTGCAAAGTGGTGCAAAAAGGGCTGTCTGAAATCAGACGGGAGTTGTGACGCCAGATGTGGAGGAGTATGGCGTATGGCATGTAGTAAACCGAGGCAGCTGGTAGATGCATATGGGCTCTGTGTATTCCTACGTGACTGGGTTCAGCTGGGGGAAGTCATCTGAGTGCATTTCGTGTTTCGAAAAGGAAAAGTCGTTCATAAGCAAACACAAAATTCACATTATGCTCACATTGTTCCCTCATGTATCAATCATGCTGGGATAGATTTATGTTTTCAAAACAAGCGCTTCGGCAGAACTGACTGTACTAATAACTTCCTGGAAAAGGTCACCTTCTAGGCAGTACCTACAAGTAGAACTGAATGAAATCAATGTAAAACATAAAGGCTAAGGGGACCATTAACATCCTTTATAAAGCAGTGATCATTTTATAAATGTAAAAATTTGCATCCTTTATTTATGGATTACTGTGTTCTGAGTGAGTGGAATTATTGTCAGACTGCGTTGAGAGAGAGAATAATAGGAGTGTAGGGGTGGGTACTACTTGGCTGTATTTTGTAGTGGTTTTGCTTGTAGATTATTTCTTTGGATCATCTGCTACCTTGTTGTTCTTCCATTAGCACAGCATGGCCACTGTCGGCACCCCTACCTCGTTATTACACGTAGGCACATGAAAAGAGAAGTCAATAAATAACATAAGGAGAGCAGTCAGTAAATGACAGCACGTGGTGCGTCTTGATTCACCCTGATCTCTTTTAAAGATCCTCTGTAAATGAAACTTATATTTTAAAAAGAAATGTGATCATAAATATATTTGATGCTAGGAGAATAGGGATAGTCCTATAATTTGTGACTTTAAAAGGTAGTGTTGGCTACAAAGATTGAGGGTCCCTAGATAAACTTTAGGTGAGGTCTGTGAAGCCCAGACATGGCATACAAATTTTTGTTGGTAAGTGCACTTTGGAAGGAAAGTGTCCTTGGCTTTCATCCCATTCCTACAGGGATCTGTGATCCTGAAATGGCCATGAAACGCTGGTTTAGAAAAGTTCATAGGATGTAGATTTTTATGGGTCATTTAGGAGAAGCTAGAGTGACCTATGGCATATGCTAGTACACTGACTTCATTAAGGGAAGGTTTTGTTCTCAAGAATTACTCCTGGGTGCCCCCATCAGTGACCGAATGGACCTGGTTTGACCACTGGGCTGATCTCATATGTCATCTTTATCCTCTTAAAGTTGCCACATCAGTAGTGAAGGACTCCTCCTCAAACAAGGGCTTAGGCTTTTCAGCTGTGTATCTCATGCTTCCTTTCACTTTATTTTTCAGATGGGAACAGCGAGAACTGCCTAATGGGCGCGTCTATTATGTTGACCATAATACCAAAACCACCACCTGGGAGCGGCCTCTTCCTCCAGGGTAAGTCTTGGGCTGGCAAGCCCTGAGACTCTAGAACTGGCACCAAGAATCACCCGCTGGCTTCTCTACCATCACTGCCATAGCCATCTCTTTAGTTCCCACTATTCTCTGCTCCCTTCCCTCTCTTTTCCCCCCTTCCATTGTTGTCTTCTACATTCTTTCCTATCTTTATTTTCCCTTTTTCCCACATTCATTGTGTAGGCCATGACTGATGGCCATGAGCTTTAGTAAATGATACTCAGAACTACTATGGCTCTTTGGTCCCGGAGGTAGGAGGGCTAGGAATCCTGCCTCTTGGGCCATTGGTATCCTGATGCCCTCAGTTATTTCACCTACGAGGTACCCTATCAGGGCCAAGTTCTCAGTCCCTTTCTGCAGAGATAGCAAAGAACGGGGACCTTTTCCCCTGGTCACTTAATTGCTTTTCCTATTCACTTAATTCTCTCATTTCTTAGGACATCCTCAGATTTACAAAGCATCTCCAGGGAAAAAGGGGCATGAGGAAGCCAAGATAGAGAGGGTGTTGGTGCATTTCATAGCATCCTGTCCCCATTCGGCCCCTGAAGGGTGCTTCTTATTCAGCTGGGCTTTGTGAGAATGCAGCTAAGTTCTCTAAAACCAGAGGATGAGTGAGGCTTCCAAGTGAGGGAAGACTATCCAAGTTCAAGGAGAAGGAGTTTGGTTCCCAGCTTGCCAGGGACAGAAAGTTCTTTCCACATGTGCCTTTTGGTCCTGAGAGCATTCAAAAGAGAACGTATTCTGCTCTCAGGAGAGAATTCCCTCCCAGTAAAGTAGTCATGAAGGGCTCCTGCAGAACATATGAACACATCCCCACCAACCTTGTAGAGGGAGAGGATGTCAGAGGTGGGGAATATTAGGAAAACCCTATACTCTGGTTCAGCCGTCAGTTATGTGCCAGGCAAATACCACCTCACCTTCTGGTCCTTCTGATTTCCATGGATGGGCTGTTTCTGGTTTCAGTTTCCCAGTAGAATACTGTGTTTTCCTTTTTTTCCCTTAACCTTCTGGAAATGAAACTATAATCTGTCATCATTGGTCCTCATTCTGTTTTCTACTTTAAGTCCAGAATATTTATTTACATATTTTTTTAATTTACATATTTAACCACAGGAAAATATTGACTTCTTAGAAAAAGATCAAACTTATTACTTTGGAAATTATTGGAAATTTTCATATTATGATGGATAGTTTCATATACACACTAAATAGAGAGAATCCCTACATACTTACCACTTGGCTTCAATAATTATTCAAATCATGGCCAGTCTTGTTTCATCTGTACTAGAGGTTGACAAGCTATGAACCTATGGACAAAATCTGACCTCTACCTGTCTTTGTTAATAAAGTTTTATTGGACAGACATACTCATTTGTTTATACGTATAATCTGTGGTTGTTTTCATACTCAATGGCAGAGTTGAGTAATTGCGACCTAGACTGTATAGCCTGCCAACCCTAAAATATTCACGTTGTGGCCCTTTAGAGAAAAAAATTTGCCAACTCCTGATCTGTAATCCTCACCCGGCCCTCTCCCCCTTTCTTAGGTCATTTTGAGGCAAACCCCAGGCATCATATAATTTTAACCATATTTTGGTATGTATTTCTAAAAAATATTCTCTTATTAAAAACAAAACCACTGTATTGTTCACAGTATTCCTTTGCTGTCATCGAATACCCTGTCAGTAGTCAAATTTCTCCAGTGTCTTGCAAGTTAATCATTGATTTTTAACAGGATACATTTCATACTTTTACTTCTTATGTTGACAGCCCATATATTTTAAAAGCAGCATTTTTTCTGAACCAATAATACATTATATGTTAATTAATTGAGTTAAAATAATTAAAAAATATAAAAGCAGCCTTAACTCTAGAAGTGTTCTGGTTGCTTCCTCTTACCCCTCTGGTCTATAAGTTATGTAGGCCTTGATCTCATGAACATTTGGATGGAATCTAAATGAAGATATTTAATGGTGTTTTCTAAGAATGGCTGAGGTGGGACACTAGAGCCAGTTTTCTTTCTTTCTTTCTTTCTTTCTTTCTTAAAAAATTTTTAAAAAGATTTTATTTATGTGACATAAAGAGCCACACACTGAGAGAGGGAACACAAGCAGGGGGAGCGAGAGAGGGAGAAGCAGGCTTCCCACTGAGCAGGGAGCCCAATGTGGGGCTCATTCTCAGGACCCTGGGATCAAGGCCTGAGCCGAAGGCAGATGGTTAACGACTGAGCCACCCAGGCACCCCTAGCCTGTTAGTTCTTATTGAGTGTTAGTCGCATACCTCTGAGCCCCTGGCAGGTACTTCTGCACTGTAACAGGGAGCCCAGAGAGAACAGAGTGCTTCAGCTCTCATTGCTCACTAATGGAAGAAGTTCCACCCCAGGGGAGTATTACCATGCACACAGCACACTTGAAACTATAGATGGAGCCATTATTTCAGCAGAGATAGTCACCCAGGAGTGAGATTGAGCCAAAGGATTCACTTTATCATGGCCACTGCCTTCTGTCAGAGCCAGGGAATGCTTGTATGAGAAATGGTAATTAAAAAAAAAAAAGACTTTATTTATTTATTTGAGAGAAAGACAGAAAGCATGCTTAAGTGCACTAGCAGGGGGAGGGGAAGAGGGAGAGTGAGAATCAGACTCCCCCCTGCGCAGGGAGCCCAGTGATGATGTGGGGCCCAGGCCTGGGATCCCGAGACCATGACCTGAGCCAAAGGCAGATGCTTAACTGACTGAGCCATCCAGGTGCCCTCAAATGGTCATTTTTTAAATCTAGGAACAAGAACTATTGGATGTAAAGAGGAAGTAAAGATGAATGCAGTCATTTGCTCTTAGGTGGTGCTCAGACCAGAGGGGAGCAGGGAGAGGGGTCTCCGTAGAGCATGGTGTAGGGGAGGCCTCTTAGAGGGAGGTGGCTCAGACTCATCTTGTAGGAAATGCTGGAGGTGGACTTCAATGACAAAAGGAAGTTGATCCAGGTTTGGGGAAGATTGTGAATGTAAAAGACGTCTGTAGGGAATGATTCATGGAACAGTTCTATTGTAGTGGAAAGTGTATGTGAAACAAAGGTGCTCAGAGTGTGTCTAGCAAGGCTCCTGGGTGCAGCAGACACGCCTGCTGGAAGTGGAGAGGGTAAAGGGCAGACTGGACCTCCCCGCGTTGCTCTATTTGTCAGTCTTTGTAAGATTTCACCCGGAATCAGGGTAAGCTTATGCTGCTTGGAAGTTTGAAATTCACCAGTGCTGAGGAATTTCAGTTAAACATGTGGATTGAACACGTGTTTATTTCTATTCCTTTCTAAAAACTCCCTAAAATGGCAATAAAAGTATGATGATAAAGGAATGGAAGAGGAGAAGCAGCATATGGGAGATGGTAATCAAAGTTTAGTTGCTGATAGATAAATGGCAGAGCTGAGAAAGCTGAAACCCAAGTTTGCAGTGTGGGTATCCCCCAGGAAGCCAGCCAGTTTGCAGCTAGAAGCCCTGGAAAGCCTCAACAGTCAGACATTTGGGTGGTGTGTGTGTGTGTGTGTGTGTGTGTGCGCGCGTGCGCACGCACGCATGTGTAACGAGACTTAAAAACCCTGAAGTTAAGTCAAAAATATGTGCAGGGAGCAGTTAGACTTTCTCAAGTTGTCACCCATCACTTGCATCCTGTTGTCCCATGCATGTGTGCACATGTGTATGCCTCTCACACACATGCGCACACGCAGCCATCCTGTGGGATACAGCTGTAGCGGAAGGCAGAGATGAACTCAGACAAAAAGGGATTAAGTGAGGATACTGTCCCCAAGTTAAAGATTGGAGTTTTTTGCTGGCTAAAGTGACCAGTCTAAGGGAAGAAAACTATAGATTGTGCTGTTCGGGGGTCTTTTAGTCAAAGAGCGGGGTAAAGCCACTGGTCAGCCTGCCACACCCTGGATACCCAGAGCATCCATTCAGCATTTTAGTGACTCACTTTTCAGTGTGAAAGAATAGCATGGAACCAGCAGACAAAGAAAGTGGGCCTTGGTAAAAACAATGTGGAAAATAGAACCAAATTATAATTCATATCCTCAACAGTTTGGGAGGAAATATGGCATCTCTGCAAGAACAGGAGACTGTAAAAGGGACCATGCAGGAAACAAGACCTTTTATTTTTATTTTTTTTAAAAAGATTTTATTTATTTATTTGTCAGAGAGAGAGAGAGAGCCCAAGCAAGGGTAGCGGCAGGCAGAGGAAGAAGCATGCTCCTCACTGAGCAGGGAGCCCGATGTGGGGCTCAATCCCAGAACCCTGGGATCATGACCTGAGCTGAAGGCAGGCACTTAACCATTGGAGTCACCCAGGTGTCCCAAGAAGACCTTTTAAAAATTAATAAATTGTTGACTGTTGAACAGCTTAGGGACTAGGACAGTTGACACCCTGCACAGTTGAAAATATGGATATAACTTTGACTCCCCCAAGACTTAACTATTAATAGCTTACTGTTGACCAAAAGCCTTACAATGATTAACAAATATTTTGTATGTTATATGTATTATATGCTATAATCTTACAATAAAGTAAGGTAGGGAAAAGAAAATGTTAAGAAAATCATAAGGAAGAAAAATGCATTTCTAGTACTATAGTGTATTTATTGAAAAAAATCCATGTGTAAGCAGACCCCCACAGTTCAAACCCTTGCTAATCAAGGGTCAACTACATATAACAGCAGAAATAAAAATTACAGGATTGAAAGATAATGTTGGAGATAAGAAAATTAGAGGATGAGTCTAGGAGCTTCAACATCATTCATGAATAGTTCTAGCAAGAACTAGAAATAGAGGATAGGAAATTATCAAAGAAAGAATGAAAGGGATTTTGCTGGAATTGAGAGGTAAGGTATTCAAACTGAAAGGGCCTACCAAATGCCCAACCCAGAGAATGGGAAAAGAAGTGACCCTAGAATTTCATTCTAGTGAAATTTTGGGATGGCAAGAGAACATCTCAGAAGGCCCCAGAAGGTGAAAGTAGGGTACATATTAAAGACCAGGAATCAAGGATACCATCTCTCGTCTCAACAGCCAGCTATGGAACTGGATCCTTAAAATTCTGATAGAAAATTATTTCCTGCCTGGAAATCAATTCCTAGTCATCTTAACAGCCCTGAGGGTTGAAATTAAGGTATCTTTAGTGTTTCAAATGGTTCATTTTGGTGCATTCTTTCTCAGAAGCTACTAGATGGTTTGTTCCACCAGACAAGAGGAAACCAAGAAAGAAGTCATGAGATGCAGGACACAGGGGACTCCATTCAGGGGCCAAAGATGTTCCCATAAGGAAGGTGAGGGAAGCTGACTCAGGTCAGTGACGTAGAGCTGGCCTGGAGGACAGGTGTCCGCGTAGGATGAAGTGGGCCTGGAGAAACGTGGTGAGGCACATCTAACTGACACCGAGAGGCCACCTGCGCTATGAGAATCTGGGGGTGCAGTAGTGATAGGTTCTTGCAAATCAAGCAGAATGAAATGCATAGTTCTTTAACTTCAGAAAAAAAGAAAAAGTTGTACAAGTAAGGAAATACATTTCTAGTATTCTACAAAGTCATAATACAAACTCTGACTATTCATTTACAATGATTTTCTAAATTGGAAGGCTGGGGGAGGAGAGGGCACTGTGTGTCTTGTGGGGTGGGATAGAATAACTCAGTGCTCAGCTCCAATGGCGGAAGGTTCACAGGTAATGTCTAATATGACAGAAATCAAGACATAATAGAAGAAGCATGTTATTCAGCAATATGGCTGTAAATAGAAGAAACAATTGAGAATGGAAATTTGTTGCTTCTCAGGAGCAGGAATCGGCAATGGGGAGAGGTAGGGAAGGAGATGCTGTTTTTTATTGTACCTCCTATAGAACTATTTGTATTTGTTAACTCTTGATACTTGATTCCTTTGATGAAAAAAGAAAAAGAAAAGTCACTAGTTGAGAGGATTTATGAGAAGGGTGGGAAGGTTCCAGTTTGTTGTGAACCTTGAATACTAATTTGAGGTTTTGACTCAAGGGTGATGAGGAGTCACTTGAAGTTTTTGAGCAGGAGCATTGCACACAAGCAGGGGGTGAGGGGGGTGGTGCAGTCTGGTGTGATTATCCCGATGACAGTTTATAGGCTGGCTCAGAGTGGGGAGATTTGTTTGGGGATAGTTGGACATAGAAATGGAAAGTCAAGGGAGGGTGATAACACCAGAAGTGTTGAATAGTTTACTGACATCAGCAGGAAGGGAAGAGCCAGGAGTGATGGGGTAGCTTCACCCCTGGGAAGGGGACTGGCAGGAGGAACACTGGGGAAGACTCAGGTTTGGGAAGAGGCTTGTGGCATTTAGCTGAGTCCAAAGTGACAGTAGGTCATGAAGTCAGTGCAGTCTAGCAGGCCGAATTCTGATGCAGTGTGGGCACTGGCCATCAGGACTGGGAACTCCTTGAAGAGAAGCCATTTTTAGAGAGGCTTTGAGTTAAAAGAATCACTGAAGAGGTGACCAAAAAAAGTCAGTTAGGAAGCTAACTGAAAACTGAGGAAGCAGACCAAAGCGTGGTAGGCACATGAGTAAGATAAGGATTCAGAGAAGATGAAATGAGAAGGTAGTTAGGGAACAAAGACTTTCCAACACATACAGTGTAATCCCTATTGGTTCCCTTTGTATTGCGTTAGTGCTGTTTTCTTCAATTGTATCTCTTTCTTATCTTTTTAAGCCCCTTTGTCCCTCTCCCCCTTTCCAATTTATAATGCAAACATCAGGCATATTGGAGAGAGTAGTACAATGAATCCCTTGTAACCGCCACCTGGTTCTGACAATAACATTTTGTTTCATGTGACCTCCTACTTCTCAGGGGAGGCGACTGATGAATTTTAAAGCAAATCCCAGATGTCATATTCTTTGAACCATAAATACATCACATACATCTCTAACAGATAAGGGTTAAAAAAAAAAAAAGACAAAACTAGGGGTGCCTCACTGGTTCAGTCGGTAGAGCATGCAGCTCTTAATCTCGGGGTCATGAGTTTGAGCCCCACGTTGGGCATAGAGATTACTTTAAAAACAAAAACGAAACTGAAATACCATTATCCCACCCAACAAAATTAACAGTATTTCCTTACTTCATGTCATTATACCCAATCCGTGTTCTATTTTCCCCAGTTGTCTTAAAACTGTTTTTACAGTGTGATTTGAGTCCAGTTCAAACTCAAGACCATCATGTTGCTTTTGACTGATATGTCTCTTAAGTCTCTCAATCTATAAGTCTCCCACCCTTTCTTATTTTATTCTATTTATTTCTTGAAGATCCATGGCATTTGCTCCGTAGAATTTCTTATATTCTGAATGTGACTGGTGTGACCTTGAGGTGTTGGGTAACATGCTCCTCTATCCCTTGTCTTCCCTGTAAACTGGTAGGTAGATATGAAGGCTTGATTAGATTCAAATTCACTGTTTAAAATTGAATTATGATTTACATACAGTAAGATATACAGATCTCAGGAACGTAACTGGCTGAGTTTTGACAAATGCATACATTCGTGTAATCTACACTCCAGCAAAATGTTAAAGCATTCCCATCATTCCACAAAGTTCCCTCTCTTACTTTCTCTTGATCACTTCTTCCCTCAGTGTGTGCAAATCAAGTTATACTTACGAACCACAGATGAAGATTTTGACCATCTGTTCTAGCCTTGCCTTGCCCGTGGGTATTTTAGGTGTTTTAGTACTTTGGTAAGGTTGCTTTCTCACTAAAAATAATGTAGAGAATACTGCCATTGTTCATACCAACTCTTCTTCTCATGACGATGCAGCATGTTTGCACTGGCACTTTATATCAGGATGATTTCTGTTGCAAGGAACAAAAATTGGGATCCAAGTTGGCTTAAATAATGAAGAGAATTCACTGGCTAATGTAACTGAAAATTCTAGATCAAGTGAACCCTGATCTGGTGACTCAGCAATTTCACCAAGGGGCTGGCTTTTTTGTTTTGTTTTGTTTTGTTTTTGTACTCTGCCATCTATTGGGTCAACCTCATATTGTGTTTACGTCGAAAATGGCAGCCAGTGGCTCCTCAGACTGCATACTTTCTCAGTCCTATCTGGCAAGGAAGAGAGACTACATTTTTCTGAGAATTCCTAGCAAAAGTCTTGAGATTTGCCTTGATTAAGCTCAGCATAGGTCACATGCCCACTCCTGACCCGGTCAGCTGTTCACTTTGCACTTGGGAGGAAAGTCACCTTCCCCAGAAAAACACAATCTCCTAAATGGAAATCAGGAGCTAACAGTGAGGAGGGATTGGTGGCTGCAGAGGCGGCCACAAATGACGGCTTTCATCCCGTAAGCCCCAGAAGCCTCCGTGACCGGGGCTTGCTTGCCCAGGCTCCCGGGCCAGACACCAGGCTAAACCCTCCCTCAGTCCCTCCTTGCCGGCCATCCTGGGATGTCTCTGGAATTTGAGGGTCGGGGTGGGTGGTCCCTGTGTTCATTCTGAGCTTAATGTTTCCAGCTGGGAAAAGCGCACAGACCCCCGAGGCAGGTTTTACTATGTGGATCACAACACTCGGACCACCACCTGGCAGCGCCCGACAGCCGAGTACGTGCGGAACTACGAGCAGTGGCAGTCCCAGCGCAATCAGCTCCAGGGCGCCATGCAGCACTTCAGCCAAAGATTCCTCTACCAGGTGAGAGGGCGGGGGCTCGCCATACGGGTGTGGAGCCTCCCGGCACCCGAGAATGTGCCACCTCACGCAGCAGCCGTTGATCTGTTTGGTGAGCGGGGAAAACCATGGCTGGGAACATCCGTGCTCTGGAGATTTTACGCATCACCGTGAAATTCCTCAAATTCCATTATTTCTAATTTAGTAACTCAATGTCTAGCCTCTGTGTTTAAGGATTCGAGATACCGTCTTTCTTCCAAGACCGGATTTCTTTTCTGGTCCCTCCTTCTAAGCCCATTTATTCTAATTTGAAACCTGAAGGTCAGCTGTGACCTCTCCCATACCCCTACTTTTCAGAACAAAACAGCCACCCAAATCCTTTTCGTAGCTGCTACTGTTTTTCTTTAGATCTTTCTTATTTGACAGATTCTCAAGGATAGAGGACCTTTAAAATTGATCTGAATCAGGGCTTGGCAAACTATGGCCCATGGGCCAAACTGGCCCACATTTTGTTTTGTAAATAAAGTTTTATTGGCACAGAAGCACTCCCAGTAGTTTAGATATTGACTCTGGCTGCTTTTATGTTGTAACAACAGAGTTGGGTAGTTACAGCAGAGACCATTTAGTCTATAAAGCCTAAAATATTTACTGTCTGGCCCATAGAAGAAAAAATTTACTGACCCTTGCTCTGGTTCAACTTCCTTCTATCTGATTCCTGATTTTTCTCCGTCCCACCCAACTGAACAGTTAGGGCAGCCTCTGAATTGTTCTGTGTGTTGGCTTTGCTCTCTTCTCTGATCGGTACTGCCTGTTCCCAGCAGAGTAGTCTTCAAAAGTCATTGTTGCTTGACCACTTTTTAAAAGTCACTGTGAAGGGTTTGAGAAGAGGGGCTTTTTCTCAGCATTTATCACTGCCATTTTAATCACTGACTGGAAGCTTTCTGTAGTCATTATCTACAGAACAGCATTAGATTTCCTACTCTAGAATTCAGAGTGCTGTGGTTCCAAATAAACTAATGGCCTCTTGTACTGTGTCCCTTCAGAAACCCTCCCAGCCTCACCTTCCGTCCCATTAGAGCCTCTACCAGTGACGTGGTGGCTGAGGGAAACTGAGCCACACAGCCTCTTTGGTAGGAACAGGGGAATTCCCAAACTGGAACTCTGTGTATTCTCACGACACCTTGAACATGAAGCTTGGGATCTGCACTAGAATTCCTATAGAAGGTAGTGACTTAGAGGCTAGAAACTTTTTGACCTGATCCACAACATCGAATCACCTTGTTTAGTCAACATTGTTTCTATTTGACATAAACTCTAAGCCCACAACAATACCTTTTTAAATTAGAAACTTGCCTAGTTAGATGCTCAGAAAATCTTTAATTCCGTTTAACCAAGTAGCATTCCTTATCAGGTTTGTCTTTGTTTGCAGCTTCTAACCCAAAGCAGGAGCTACACCAGCAACCACAAGGGATCTATCTCCCTGGGCTGGCCTGCCTTCTCTTCCATCTGTGGGGGCTCATGCTCATCGTATAGCAAGTAAACCGATGAGGAACCTCAGTTTCCCTAGTATGGATATACAGAAAGCACAGTTTGTCACATCATGTTGTGTCAAGATGAGCTGTAATGCCTGGCTCTGATCCGTGCCCTCGGGGTTCTTAGGCACGGACTTGCACTCCACAGCCCTTTTCGCACTTGCCTGGCATCCCCTTTGGGCACGTTACATAACTGGGTGGGATCAGTCATTCTCTGCCTTTCAAAAACCATTCCTCCAGAGCAAGGGCCCAAAGGCTTTACCTGCTCTTTTCTTGGGTGGTTGTAGCTGAAAAACTAGAAAGTTCTGGGTGTCTCTATCCTTTGACTTAGAGATAAGGACACGTTCTAGAAGTCTCACAGTCATTTTGTTTCCTTGCTTACTCAGCTTCTCTAATTTAAAAAAAAAAAAATCTCTTAAAGGAATCTTGTTTTTCTCCACAATGCACCAAGTATGTTCTGCTAATTGACTGAGATGTTTGGTGTGTGAAAGGGCAGGTTCTCGGGGTCGCATTCACTTGGTCTTTTGGAACATCCATTTCATTCATTCCTCTGGCCTGCCTCTGTCACTCTAGCAGTGTCATTCTGGGCACACAGAGGTAGAACTTCACCTTGGAGTGTCCCCTTGAAGGAAAAATTTTTTTTTTTTTTAAGTACTCTAACCTGGTTTTCTCAGCTTGGCTGGGGATTCAGGAGGGTTCTGGATGGAGGTGATTGTTCCTTTTTCTCTGTGAAACAAGATTCATATTGAAAAACGTGTTAGGAATCATTTTTGGGTCAGCTTTCAATGTGTCTCTGTTGACTTCCCTCTCCCCTGGATTTGCTTTGCCCCCCATTTGCTGTGGTGCCATGTCCTGGTTACAAGTAAGAAGCCTCGCTTTCATACAGTTATTTTGGGGTTTGGCCTCGGCCCAGGGTTTGACTCGGAAGACTTAAGAGCTGATACTGTACCAGTGGTTTCCCCTCCTCCTTCTCCTGCTGGGCTGAAACCAAGACTTCGTTCTTCTTCACTTGCTCTAGAGAGAACATGAAGAGCAGTTCAAGATGGAAGCCAGGGGAACCCCACAGCGCAGTCTCCCACAGTTCCTTCCTGCCCTCGGCTTCAACACATGTTTTTTGATTTCTTTTATTGTTCCCTCATTTCTGATATGCTTCTGTTTCTCGATACCCCGGCATGCCTTCGTTTCTTGTGAGCATCACACACATACTTGCATTTTGCTCTCACAGTTTCACGGTGCCTGCTCTTTTGTGATCCTGCTGTGGACCTGTGGGGCTGCCCCCCCATTCACGTGCATTGTGCCTACTGCTTTCTGAGAGGCTCCCGTAACCCCCACTTTGGTCCTCCTTTAAGAAGTAGAGGAAGGGGTGCCTGGGTGGCTCAGTGGGTTAAAGCCTCTGCTTTCAGCTTGGGTCATGATCCCAGGGTCCTGGGATCAAGGCCCGCATCGGGCTCTCTGCTCAGCGGGGAGCCTGCTTCCCCCTCTCTCTCTTCCTGACTCTCTGCCTACTTGTGATCTCTGTCTGTCAAATAAATAAAAAAAATCTTAAAAAAAAAAAAAAAAAAAAAAAAGAACTAGAGGAGGTAGCCAGTGTCCCCAGGACTGAACATGATCATTCTGTGGCTCCCGATGTGTGCTTGCCAAATTGCGTTCTCCAGAAACAGACAACTCTCGTTTCTTACTCTGCGGAGAGCCCCTTGGATTGAACTCTCAAACACCTGGGTTTTGTTCTGCACCCACGGGGTGGATCCTGAAAAAAAGGAGCCTGCCTTCCATACAGTAACCTTTATGCCCTTCCCAGAGCCTTTCTTGCCCTCGGCTGTGTTTGCTAGACATTCTTTATTTCTGAGTTTGTATCTTAAAATATTACTGGAACTTAGTGCTTAGTCCCTCAGGGAACTGAACTCAACGTGAGCTGTCTGGCTCACGGCCTGCACCTCAGATGTCCCAACCACGGGACATTTACCAGGAAAATGATTCGATAGTGTTGCTTTCTATTGCTACTGGTAAAGGAAACTGTCTTGTCGCTTAGAGTCACCTGCATATCCCAGGATCTTTCTTCTGATACCTTCTGTAATCCCTCCATTCCCCCTTCTCTGTGCTTCTCTGGCTGTGCTCCAAGCAATACTTATGATCTCTCATTTTAGGGGAAATGTGGGAGAAGAGAAGGGGCAGTTGGTTGACTTAGTGGAGATGTGGGGTTTTGGTTTTCAGACCATGATGTGTAGCTCTTATTTTTTTGTTTCTCTTCAGCTTCTTTCTCTCCACTTCCTTTTCTTATTTTTCAGGTTGTACTGTGTACATTAGGGAAGAAATGTCTAGAGTAGTTGTGTTATGCTTTAACTGCAAGCAGTCAGACTGTTGTGAGTGTCCACTTTCATTGACTTTTCATGTGTTGTTCATGCTCTCAATCTCTGGTCACTTTCCCTTTTCTCTTGCTTCCTCTTCTGTTCCCCTTTTCGCAGGTTTTGAGGGGGGTGTGGATCTGATAGGATGAGAATAGGACAATGTTAGGGGAGCTTGGGTGGATCAGTGGGTTAAAGCCTTTGCCATCGGCTCAGGTCATGATCCCAGGGTCCTGGGATCGAGCCCCACATCGGGCTCTCTGCTCGTCAGGGAGCCTACTTCCTCCTCTCTCTCTGCCTGCCTCTCTGCCTACTTGTGATCTCTGTGTGTCAAATAAGTAAATAAAAATCTTAAAAAAAAAAAAAAAGAGAATAGGACAATGCTAAGAAAAAAAAAAAAAGAACAACAGTACACGAAAGAGAACCAACATCATATGAAGATATAAAAAAGGCAAGGATCAAGAAAAAGGTTGGATTACCCGGGTGGCTCAGTCAGTTAAGTGTCCGACTCGATCTTAGCTCAGGTCTTGATCTCAGGGTTAGGAGTTCAAGCCCCTCATTGGGTTCCATGCTGTGTGTGGAGCCTACTTTAAAAAAAGAGAGAGAGAGAAAGAGAAAGAAAGGAAAGAAAAGAAAGAGACAAGAGTTGGTTTTTTTTTTTTTTTAATTTCCTCCCTATGCTTTGTGTACAAGTCATGGTTGATTTTGATGAATAATAGAAATCCACTTGGTTAAACTTAAGCAGAAAAGGAATTTACCAAATGGGAATGGTGGGTAGTTCATAGAATGAACAGGACGACGAGGAACCAAGCTCTGGCAGAAACCAGGGTAGGCTAGGCAGAGGAATAGTTTGTGTAGGGCGGTGCCTGCTGTGCTGCCATTGAACACCCGTTGCTCCCGTGGACAGTGGGCTCCACTGCAACAGTGAGTCATTGCCCCAACCTCATGCTTTCCTGCCGGTCCCCGGAAGTTCAGAGTGGGAGCATCTGATCAGCTGTTCTTTAAGTCATGTGCCTGCACTGTAGGTGCTGTGGTGTTGGAAAAGGAAATGTTTGCTAGCCAATAAATATTTTTTGGTTTCTAGTACAATGCGGGTCAGCAAGGCTGTTAGTAAAGATGGTTTGGTCTGTTGATCTGTCGAGTTACGCAGAAGATGACTGTCAGTCCCCTGAAGCCCAGTTGGTACCAGTTGGGAGTTGATTTCCCACTGGAGCCCGTGACTGCTTTATGGATTATCCACTCATTCCAAAAAAAAAAAAAAAAAGATTTGAAGCAGCAGTTTTGCTCTGAATGCTTCTTTTATGTTTTTAAAATGATCTTTTTTGTATTTCTTCCCTTTTGCTACAGCTCATTACCCAGTGAGTTCTATTCGGCTTCATTATCTGAAATGCACACGTATTTCACAAGTTAGCTCCTTTCCTTCTGTTACCGAATGCTTTTATAGCTACTGCTCTTCTGTGTTAACAAGGTTGGAGGAACATAGGTTTTATGAGCTGCTTCAACACCCCCCCCCACCCCCGCACTCTCACCAGAATGGCTTCTGGGAGATGTCACATTTGGGAGCTCTTTTCCAGTAGCCACCAGACAAATCTGAATTGGGATGGAAGTTTGAGCACGTCCTCCAGGACGATGGTAACCAGGGCCCTAAATTGAGCACAGCCCAGCTTCCCACACCTTTGTGCAGTTTCATTCTGCTGGGCAGGAGACCCTTTGCTGAAAGGGGGCTCTGTTCCATCAAGGAACCTATGGTTTCAAGACTTAAACATCTTTGTTGGAACTTGCTTTGGAAGAATTGCCTGTGCTGCCACCTTGGAAAGAAAGTTTCTCTGTCCTTTCAGCTGGGGGTGGAGGGCCGCCTGTGAAGGGGTGGGCTGGGGTCGGCGGTGGGGGGTGTGCATTGGCAGTTGAGTTCCACCAATGTTTTCTCAAGCTGAGACTGAGCCCCATTCATCGTCCTGCCCGTGTGTGGCTCTGTCGCCCCCAGACAGAGCTGGCCAGGCAGCCTGAAGTCTGCACTGAGAACTTGATCCCTTCATGCAACGATTAAGTTTTAGTAAGTGAAATAAAAATGCTTCAGCAAAAAAGAAAAGAAAAGAAAAAAGCAAGCAAGTGTGCAACAACAGAACAGTACTTGTTTTATTTAACTATGAAGAGTTTTTGACAGCAGCTCCTTTCCCCGCAGGATATGAGAACTCTTGGTCCACTGCAGCCCTGCCCCATGGATCTCCCAGCAGAATTAGGCTGGGGGTGGGGGGCTCGAATGTAAACAGTGACCCTGAAGGCCTGGAGTCCGCTCTCCCCCTTCTTTCTCCTGTCTCTCCTGCTCGCTTGCCCCCTCGCCCCCAGCCCCACCTCCCCAGACAGGCACACACAGAACACTGAGCAACTTCAGGTTCAGGCTGGAGGAGAATAAAGGTGCTTTGTGAAGCGAAGCAAAACATTCCTGGGGGAGGTGAGGGGCCTGGGGCATGAATGTACCCTCAGTCTGGGCTGGGTGTGCGCACCACGGCTGCTGGGAGGCTGCTCCCTCTCCCAGGGCACCCAGGAGGGAGGTGGAGGGAGGAGGGCCCAGCCCCCAGCCAGGAAGCTCTGGGCGTGGGCAGGACTTGTGGGAATGATTTCATTGGAAAGGCCTGCGATATTTTTTCCCCTCCCGTGTGTGGTTCTTGGAGAAAGTTGGAGGTGGTGGTGATTTCAGTCGCCCCGGCTGCCGGGAGCAGGAGCCGAGAGCAGGGCACTGGCTGAGCCTGCGGGGCTATCCACTCTGGGCCCTCCTGCCTGGTCTGAGGCCTGGGGCCGTCTCTCTTCCTCCACTGCCCTGGCCCACCTTCTTCTGCACGCATCATCCTCCCCCTCGCTCCACCCTCTCCACAACCTGTCGGGCCCTCCGTGCGGGGGGTTCTTTCTTGGTTTTTCTTTTTTGAGAAAAACTTCCGAGAGGCGCTGATGTCACCTCAGGCCCCACTGTAGCCTGTACAAAGTGCTCAAATGTGGAAATGAGTCCTTGGCATTTTTATTTTTATCGGTCCATTTATTTTTAAACCATTGGCTTTTTTTTTAACCTCTATGTTCTGCTGTGTTTCTTGTGTTTAGTCTTCAAGTACTTCGACTGACCATGACCCACTGGGCCCCCTCCCTCCTGGCTGGGGTAAGTACCGAGTTCTGTGTACTCAGCCGTCTGTCAGCCGATGTTCCTCCGTGCTCTGTCGTCTTTCCCTGAGAGTCTGCCTCACTCCCAGCCCTCATTTTCCCATTTCGCTTCTTGCCAGCATGCTCTGTGGGGAGGCCCAGCCTGAGCGGTTACAGGCATTGGAGCTGGAAGGTTGGGAAAGCAGTGGGGTTCCCCTGCACCCCTGGAGCATTCACCCGCCATGGCTGAAGCAGCGTATGAGACTGTGGACAGAGTCCCTGGGCAGCCATGGGACTGTTGGGTTTTGGTCCTGACCTTAAACTGTCTGCCCAACCGTCCAACCTGTCATTGGCGAAGGCATACTGGTGTTGGCTTACTCGCTGGTGCATTGGTTTCAGGTCTGTGGCTGTGTGATCGGAAGGAGCCACCTCACCAAACCTTTCTTTGCAGCTGAGATGTTGGACTTCATCCTGATTTTGACTAAAGAAAGCCGCCTTTTTCTTTGTGACACAGTTGTGAGGGAAGCCGATGAGAGAGTTGAGCGCTGGGTGCCAAGTCAGTGATAGCACACTGCTGCTGGTTAATAGTACCGTGCTGGATTCTCTTTGACACTGGAGAATCTTAGGTCCGTGCTGTGATCTGCCAATAATGAGTAGGAAGGATGGACATCCATGACTTGGGAGAGATTATGGGCCTTGTGGCTATTCTGGGAGGGCGTGCTCATGCAAAAAGGGGCCACACGAGATAGACTCAGCGCCTCCTGCAGCTCAGAGCTGGGGCAGGGTTTCGTTGGGTACTGCAAGAGTCGCTGGGGATGGAAGAGGGAGGTTTTTGCAGGAATCAGCAGGTGTTGGATTTAATGTATTGGTTGGGCCAGTGGAGGACAGTGAATGCTGCTTTGGTGGTATGCACGCGTGGTATTTAATCGGGCAGGGGCTCGCTCCCCAATAAAGACAGAGATGTGGACAAATGATAGGATGACCATGATGTGGAAAAGTTTGGCTTTTGAGCGAGAACCCCCGGTGGAGACACACTACTCCCTGGTAGTCATTTACCAGGTTGCTTCACTGTATCTCCCCACCCCCCCGGCCGCCTCGGCCCGCCCCAGGCCCACAGGCTGTCACTTAGTGAATTACCACTGCATTCCAGAGCTCTGGAAGGACCTCTTAGGCATTCTCGGGGGGGCATATGGGTTAACGGAGCCTCCAGACAGTTCCTGATTTTCAGCTAGGGAATCCCTTAGGTACACAGATCATCCACCTGGCTCTTTGAACTGATAAAAGTTCCCCGGTGTCTCAGAGACCGGTAGCCAGTCACGTATGAGGAGTCGAGCACAGGATCCCTGGCTAGGCAGGGGAGAGCGCATCCGATTAAGCAAGAGTCCGTGATGTTGTTTGACAGCCAGTAGACGCTTGTGACCTGGAGCCAGGGACCCATCTCGTTCCTGGATCTATAGAGTCACGTGCTTGATTGCTGTACCGGTTCTGCTACATGATGGTCGCCAAGTAAGAGCAGCGCTAGCACCTCGAAAAGAGCTCCCAGAAGCCACGTGTGAAATGTTTGGGATGGGAAGGGGAGCCATGGAGTCAGTGGTGTTTACATGTGATCAGGAAAACACACAAGATCATAGCGGTATGAAACTGAGAAAAAAGAACATCCAGCCGAGGGCCGGGAGCTTTCCTAATCAGATCCTTTGGGCTCTGTGTTGGCTCTTTCAGGGATGGGCCAAGACAGGGCCACCTTTGCAAGGAGAGTTCAGAGTGAACAGAAAGAGCAGCAGAATCAAGTGAGAATTACATTTAGTGGGAGCCTGTGATCATATCTCCTGGGCCTCCTGCTCTCCATCCTGGGCCCTTTGTGCTCCTCCAGGAGAGAGCCCCGGTTCTCCCCGCACCCAGGGGTCAGGACACCTCAGGTTTAGATCGACGTCTCTTCAGCGGCCCTGACCCTGGCATGTGACTAAATGCTTCCAAGTTTGTTTCTTCCTAAAGGAGGCAAGCTAGCCCCAGGCCGGCTGGACAGATCCCCTGGCCTGATGATGAGCATTGGCTTTGGCCCTTGGCCAAGCAGACACAGAGGATCTAGTTCAAAGCAGAAGCTTCTGGGATGGGAGCATCTTCTCCTGTTCCTCAGAAACTTCTTGGGAAGCCCAACTTCTGTGGGACAGTCCCATAAACTGAGCAGAGGTGTTGGTAGCTCTGTCATAATCTTGGGCGTCTTCTTTTCTTTATTTCATCTGTGTTTTAAAAATTTCACACGTGTAATGGATACCACATAAGGCAGAGAGAGACCAAGACCCTGGGTTGATGCTGGGAACGCTGTAGCCTGATGCTTGAGGGAGAGGAGTGGGCTCCTCGATTCTGTGCCCTTTTTAGCTCTTGGTTTCCCTGTAGCTTCTGTAACTAATTATTTTTATTTCTTTAATTTCACCATGTAATTGTAAAAGAGGGAGAGCCATTCATATCATTTGTTTGGGGGGACAGAAATAGATTTGAAGGCTCAGGAACTTCCTGGGAAAGGTGACCTCTCTTCCATTCACAACCTTTGCCCCTAGTCTTGCCTGTTGGCTGCTTGGACCTGATGGGGCATCCTTCTCAATGCCTCTCAAAGCCTGGAATCACCAGCTAATGTTGGGTCTGCCCAGACTCCCACCCATAAGCATGTAAGCCCCAGGAGAGGGGAGAGAGCAAAGATTGTCCAGAGGACAGAGACCGTATGCCTGAGCCCCCCGCCCCCTCAAATACTGCCCTGGCTTGCAGTGCACACTTAGGTGTAAGCACAAGATAGGCATTGTAAGTGCCCGTGGCCCCAGGCATTTATCGCACACATGCAGCATCATGGTTTTGCTGGGATGTGAGTTTTAGAACAAAGCTCTGCCTTCATGCAAGGAGAAAGAGATAGGGTGGGCGGTAGATAGGCCCTGTGGTACAGAGCGCTGATCAAAAGGATATGAAGGAAATGCAGCCATCCCACAATGGTCCTGTTTGGATGGAGCAGTTGCAGGACCAGAGACCAGCCTGTGAGGGCCTGGGGTGGGGACTGGGGTTGAGAGGTGGCTGGCTGCGCCTCCACTCTGCACACAGCTGGATGTAATTACGCCTCTGGTTTCAGCTGGGCTGCTCCCCCTCCTTGTTGCCACACTGCCCCCTTCTCTCCAACAAATCAACCAACCAAAGACAGTGCTGGATCTTGAGTTTGAAATGGTTTATTCTTCCCCCACTCCCCAATAGGGAAAGATTCTCTTTGTCCTTTTTACCAGTGACAGATGCGAGTGAGCCAGGCTTTCAGCGGTTAAACTTCTCTAACAGGTTGGGAACGGGGGTAGAAAGTTGGACCTGGCGCTCAGGAGGAGGGAGCCAGAGGGAAGTGGACATGGACTCAAGATGTTTCAAGCTGATTGTCCTCTTTTCTTTCTTCTCCCATGGCAGAGAAGAGACAGGACAATGGACGGGTGTATTACGTGAACCATAACACACGCACTACCCAGTGGGAGGACCCTCGGACCCAGGGGTAAGGACTTGGGCTGGGTGGGCCCCATGTTGTTCCAGGCCAAGTGCCTTGGACTGTGTTGGTCCTCTGTGGTCAGTATTCTGGGATCTTTAGCCACACACAAGTGCCTCAGGATCCTTACCATATAGTTGCTGCCTAATGAGACTTGAACATGGCTTCTTAAATTGAACTTCCCGAAGGATGGAGAGTGGCCCGACTGGCCGGTGTTGCTGGTCTCTCTGCCAATTGTGCAGGTTACTAATAGGGTGATTTCAAGAGATTTGAGGGAACTTCTCCAGAAGCTAGTCTAGGATAGGGGCATGTGGAGTCTCAGGATAGCTAGTTTGCCACTTAGGCCACAGCTGTCCCCCCAGAGCTGGTAGATGACCTTTCTCTGCTCCAGAACTGTCCTCATGACTTGGGTGGTACCAGGTGCCTTTCCTCAAGGCCCACCCTCAAGGGCTGTGTGGGGCCTGGGTGAAAGCAGAGAGAAAGCAACACTTCAGGAACCCCAGCCTCGTAAGCACTGAGGCCCAGAAGGAGAGCTCGGCTCTTAATTCCTCTCTTCCCGTGCTTCCAGGATGATCCAGGAACCAGCATTGCCCCCAGGGTGGGAGATGAAGTACACCAGTGAAGGGGTACGCTATTTTGTGGACCACAATACACGCACCACCACCTTTAAGGATCCTCGCCCTGGGTTTGAGTCTGGGTAAGGACTTCCCACAGGCCACATTAGTAGCTGTTCACACAGTGGGGTTTTATCCTTGTCTTGCTCCTCTTACTGCCCTCTGGTGGCTAATTTTGGTGTCACATTAGAGGGGATGGTGGGAGAAGCCGGGACGGTGGGGAGGAAGGGGCTATCCTATTTATTTGGAATAACACTTGTGGTCTTTCTTTAAAAGCAAGAGGTCTGGCTTTATTTCTGGTTTTTCTTTTTACTCTTCAAATCTGTCTACAGAAATGGCGGTCATTTCCTTTCTTTCATGCCTGCCTTTCTGGTCTTCAACATAGTATCAGCTTTCCTTGGGGCTAACCTTTGCTAATTCTTGAGAAATCACATGGATTCTAGAACATCTTTCCTCTTCCTAGGACGAAGCAAGGTTCTCCTGGTGCCTATGACCGAAGTTTTCGGTGGAAGTATCACCAGTTCCGTTTCCTCTGTCACGTGAGTTCTGGGACCGGACCTCCCCCAGATGGTGGGGTTAATTGAGTTACTTTAGCATGATTTCCCAACCTCACAGAGATGTTGGGATGCCTGCGTCCGAGGTGGGGGCCAGTTACCTGTCCTGCCCGCAGCATTGTCTGACATCGTCTGCAGTCACTAGCTCCCATTTCTAGGGTACCAGGTTCTTCACCACTGGCCCGGGGAAACGGGAAGCCTGTTCATCATACACACAGGAGACCTGACTGAATAGTGACCACTGAGGTCCTGATTCGGAGTGTTTTCTTTTTCTCTTTCTTTTTTAGTCAAATGCCCTTCCCAGTCATGTGAAGATCAGTGTTTCCAGGCAGACGCTGTTCGAGGATTCTTTCCAACAGGTTAGAGAATAATCATGGTGTCTAAGACCCAACAAGCAGAAGGCCCCCTCACACCACACCATCTTCTGTCACATGTTCTGTTAAACCCACATGGTAGAGTTTCCAGGGTGTGGGCTTTGGTGACAAGTCTCAGTGGAAGAGAAGGACTTAGAATTCCCTGCCCCAGCCCCTGAGCTGCCATGGAAGCAGGAGTGGCAGGTGGGCCACAATGTTCTGTCTCCCCAGATCATGAACATGAAGCCCTATGACCTCCGCCGCCGGCTCTACATCATCATGCGTGGCGAGGAGGGCCTGGACTATGGAGGCATCGCCAGGTGAGCTCAGCACCCCTGGAAGGCTGGGCCATACCCCATTTCCCCAGCCTATAGAGCTCAGGGCCAGAAAGCCGCCGCCTCCTTGTTCACATTGGTCCCCAGAATTCTCACGCACCTTCAGGAGTGGGCGTGGGTACAGCCGGTCCACATGGGTACCGGAGCAGGGTCCTGGGGTCCCCTTGTGGGCTAGGCATTAACCCTTTAGTTAATGGTCTGTGGAGAGGCTGGGAGCTTCAGAGGGCAGGGCTTAGGACAGTGGTGCAACAAAGTATCTGAACTTGAACCAGTCTGGCTGCACTGTTGGACGGGGGTTAAATATTGGTGTCCTATTGTTTCTGTTAACAATCGACCCTAGGCTTCTCTTCTTGAGGCAGCTGGGGCAGGTATATCGCTGATACCTAGTATATCGGCATGTGCCTGACATAAATTGTGTCACCATCCAGAGGGCCTCATTCAGCTCAGCTACACGTCATGTGCATAGCGTCAATAAAGTTAAAATGGCTGACATACCCATAAAAAGAGCCTAAAGCATTGTCTTGCCCTCACCCTAGCCTACCTACAAAAGCTAACAGAGTCTCTGACAAAACGTTGCGTTGGATCATGGGGCAGACGTCCCTGGCAGGGAGAAGGAGCATCTTGGCCTGTGGTGACTGCTCAGCTCACTGACCTCTCCTGGTGTTGGGGACATCTTCTCTCTTGGTGTTGGGTTCACTTGTTTCTGGTCCTCTGTTTGCTGGTGGTGCTGCCCTCCTTGCTGGCCCCTGTGGATCAATTGCTCTTTTTCTGTGGTGACTATGGTGACCTTCTCTCCAGGCTCTGCTTGGTGGTGTGGCTCCCACCCCGTGTGTGTCTGTCTCTCTGTGTCCTGCCAGTGGTTTTACCCTATGGTAGGTTACGTCATGCTGTTCTACCACAGGGTAGAACCACGGACAGGATACCGAGGCACCCTCTGCATCGAAGGACTCCTCGTCTGCCTGGCCACAAGCAGCCAGGGACTGGCCCCCTTGGGATGTCCCCCTGCTGGTTTATCTCAAGCCTGAAAGGACTCTGAATTCTGGCTTGAGCTTGTTACCTCGGCCACAAAAAGATGTCACGGCATGGGTGTTGGTTCAGACAAATGCGTGGTGATGGGGTTTGGGGTGAGGGGAGGGCAAAGAGCAAGGGAAATGAGATGCCTTTTGTGTAGCTAATGGGAGTGAGGTTTAAAAATTTAGAGGCTGCATGGATTACAGAGTTTTCATGTATCAGGACCTAGGAACGTGTTACTGTGTATTCCTTTCATGCTGCCTACTCAGGTTGGAAACGGGGGTGGGGGGCTGTTTTCTTCAGCACCTCTGCAAGATTTAGAAAAAGATGCCCTTTCTCAAGACACTTCCATGTTGGGAAATGGTCATGATACTTTGGTTTTATCAGGAAAAAACCAGATTGACTGCTGTATGCAGGAAAATTGTTGTAATAAATGTGCAAGTCTATGATACTTTAACATAGTGCTCTTGTACAGAGCAGCCTACACAAGTGTACATGGTGGCCTCAGGGTACCACAAGCTCCTTTGCCATCAGCCATACTGGATATCGGATAGAAAGTCCTGGAATACATCGTCGGGGAGCCCAGAGACATGCACGCAGGCTTTCCTGAGCACTGTCCGCAAGTGCAGTTGTCCTGATTCACCCTCGCTCACTGACCAGCCGTGAATACAGGTTATACCAGGTGTTCATCCCAGTGGGGCTCGACTCCAGGGAGCCGTGTCTCCAAACTCACCGCAACAAGACAGCAAAAGAGAGTCCCATCTCCAGTGCAGGTGTCCAGGAAGGGATCCATTACTCTTGTTTTTCTCTGTCTTCTCTCACAGGGAGTGGTTTTTCCTCCTGTCCCATGAGGTGCTCAACCCCATGTATTGTTTATTTGAGTATGCCGGGAAGAACAATTACTGCCTGCAGATCAACCCTGCCTCCTCCATCAACCCCGACCACCTCACCTACTTCCGCTTTATTGGCAGATTCATCGCTATGGTAAGACGCACTGCTGTGAGATCTCTAGACAGGGGTGCAGCCGAGGAGGCCAGATGTACCAACAGCAACCTGCAGTGGATGCCCCAACTTTGAGCTCCACACCTCTCACAGAATACCTAACGGGAAATGCAAAAAGCTGGAGAGAGTTCTGGAGATAGTTCAGAGCTCCCTCAGGGGCATCCCCAGGGGCTTCGAGAGGGTTTTCTTGTGTTGATTTGTGTGGAATTTGTCAGAGATAGCCCAGGGTTTCTGGGCCATGGGCATCACTGAACTTTCAGCATGCACCCTGTCGAGGGTGTTGGCATGACATACGCTGCCGACATGCTGTCTTTCTTGCAGGGGGGAGGGGAGATGCAGGGCAGGCTACCACCATTTGTCACGGCCCTTGGGTGAGAGTGTTAGGGAATGTCTGCCTGAGACACTTGGGCCTTCTGGAAGGGGATTTGGAATCAACAGTAGCTTAGAAGAGAGCCCTGGTAGACCAGCTGGTCAGGACTTAGGAGGCATCATCAGGGACTGGGTGAAGAGGGAAAGCGGAGTCACGGTACCCGTATTTATCTAGAAATAGGGACACAGTGTGACTAGAGGAGGGAGTCATTGCATCCTGTTGAGTGTCTCGTGAGGGTAGAGAGCCAGGATTGAGGAAGGGGAGCCCATGGTAGCCACAGTCCTTCTGCCGTATTTAGTAGTTTGAGATGTTTCATTGTTAATTTTCCTTTGCTTCTTCCTGACTTCCTGAATGCTCTGCCCACGAGAACCCAAGAGCCATGACTAAATATGTCCCTTCCCCGTGTCTGGAAATTCTTGGCCAAGGTGCTGGGCTCAGGAAGTGGGCACATTCTTCCCAGGTCTAGAGACCCGCCTGGCCCAGCAGCCGGCAGAGCAGACCAGTAAAACCCTAGACTGTTACTCACCGCTGGCCCGCCAGCTCTCGCCCTCCACAGCGTCTGCATTATTTTTGGCTGCCTCTGCCGCCCAGCTTGGAGTGTCAGTGAGTCAGGGCTGCCACCTGGCATTGTGCTGTCCATGAGCATGGGGCAGTTCTCTGCTGGAGCAGGGAGCTGGTGGGCAAGTGTGCTGGGCAGGTACTGGGTTCCTAAGTAGGCTGGTTCTGTTTGCCCTGGTGGTCTGCAGGTGTGATGAGAGTCTGGGTCAAGGTCACAATTGCTCTTGGGGAGAAAGGGTAGGTAGCAGTAGTTGGGCTTTGGTGTGGAGCATCCAAGAGCCTGCTTCAGGCAGTGTCCTAAGAAGACCAAAGCCCTTTTCCATGTCTCCTCCTCCTCAGGCTCTGTACCATGGAAAGTTCATTGACACAGGCTTCACCCTCCCTTTCTATAAGCGGATGCTCAACAAGAGACCAACCCTGAAGGACCTGGAATCTATTGACCCCGAATTCTACAATTCTATTGTCTGGATCAAGTGAGTCCTCTCCCTTGTGCCATGCTGGGAGGAGAGGGGTCTCTGGTTGGGGAGCAGGCGCTGCTGGCCTTTATTTTCTCTGCCAGACTGGCTCTGCGCTCAGATGGGCTTTAGAAGTGCTTGTGGAGATGTGCAGCTCCTAGGTTTCCCTGTAGGGCAGCTCCAGAATTCTCTCCATGCCTCAGGGAGAGGTCCCGTGCGGCTGCTCTGGATCAAGGCTGTGAGTCCTGGCATCCCATGAGCACTGAAGTGAGGGACAGAGCAGGATGAGGGGGGGGCCCCTTCTAAGGTAGAACTCTTCCCTTTTGGTCTCTTGTGCCGCCAGAGAGAACAACCTGGAAGAGTGTGGTCTAGAGCTGTACTTCATCCAGGACATGGAGATCCTGGGCAAGGTGACGACCCACGAGCTCAAGGAAGGTGGTGAGAGCATCCGAGTGACAGAGGAGAACAAGGACGAGTATATCATGTGAGTCTTAAGTGCTGGAGAGCCAGTGCGGGGGGAGGGGAGCAGAGCCACCCTTGTCTCTGGGATGCCCTGCATCCATGCCCCCCCACACATTTCACCAGGGATCACAGCCTCCCATTTGGCATCCGCCCCGGGGCCAGCTGCAGACTGGCTCTGGGTGTGTGCCCAGGTCACCTCTCAGCCGATTCCTCGCTGCTGTGTGACAGCCTCCTGGCAGGTCCTGAGGCGCACGTGAGCTTCGGGTCTCAGCTCCCCTGACGGCTGGTCTTCGGTTTCAGGCTGCTGACTGACTGGCGTTTCACCCGCGGCGTGGAAGAGCAGACCAAAGCCTTCCTGGATGGCTTCAATGAGGTGGCCCCTCTGGAGTGGTTGCGCTACTTTGACGAGAAGGAGCTGGAGGTGAGAGCTGAGGTCGCTGGGACCCTGAGCCCCGGCCTCCAGGGCATTCGTGCCCTTTGTTGGCAAACTCTGTCTCCAGAGAAGCTTGCCAGTGGAGCCTCACACTCCCTCCGGACCGAGGCCGCAGGGTAGATAGTTGTGCTTGGGTTTCTCACACTATTGCGAGGGGGTCCACATCCAACACTCATATCCCTCCTATTATTACCGCTGCCAGCAGAGATCAGGAAGATGTTCGGGATGCTTTTATCTGCTAGTGAGTGGGGAGGGGCCTGGCCCTGAGCCACTGACATCTGTCTTCCCTGCAGCTCATGCTATGCGGCATGCAAGAGATAGACATGAGCGACTGGCAGAAGAACACTATTTACCGACACTACACCAAGAACAGCAAGCAGATCCAGTGGTTCTGGCAGGTAGGTCCTGGGGCCCATCCCAGGGAGGTTGGGGTAGGGGTCCAGACAGGCTTTAGGAGTCAGCCTCAGGAAGGAGACCTGATTCGATCTCAGGCTCAAGGATGCGTGTTGCATGGTCACCTCCCTCATCTCTCACGCTCTCCTCACTTTGTGGAAGGAGAAGAGAGACCCAGCCTTGGGATGAACAGAGCTGTTGCACCTGGACTGTGTCCAGGGCTCTTGACAGGACACGTTGGTGGTCAGCCTTGGTGGGACAGCGGGGAGCCTGCAGGCAGGAGGGAAAGCTCCCATTGGTCATGTGGTTTCCTTCTAGCCAGGGGACATGGGCCAGCATTGCTTGTCTCTGGAGAAACTGAATGAGCTGAGTCCTGGATGTACTGAGTTGATTCTTTTGTATGTGTAGTCTTGTTGTCGTTATGAAGTATAGCATACATGGGGAAGAATAGGTATATAAACATTCCCTTGTGAAGGCAAAATTCCCACCCCATAAAACTCACCATGTTCAGCATTTTAAGGTATTATCATTAGCCTTTCGCAGTACAAGGCAGTCATGACCACCGTCTAATTTCAGAACATTTCATCTCCCCCCAAAAACAAACCCCATTCCCATGAAGCAGTCACTCCCATCCTTAGTATATGTGTATTTTTAAAGATTGTATTTATTTATTTGACAGAGAGAGACACAGTGAGAGAGGGAACACAAGCACGGGGTTTGGGAGAAGGAGAAGCAGGCTTCCCACCGAGCAGAGAACCTGATGCAGGGTTCGATCCCAGGACCCTGGGATCATGACCTGAGCTGAAGGCAGACACTTAATGACTGAGCCACCCAGGCGCCCCCCCCCCTTTTAAAAACTATTTACTTTTTAATTATTTTTTAAAGATTTTATTTATTTATTTGAGAGACCGAGCAGAGAAGAGAGTACAAGCAGGGGGAGCCACTAGCAGAGGGAGAAGCAGGCTCCCCGTTGCGCAGGGGAGCCCATCCTTAGTATATTTTTAAAAGCAGAACTTGGATGGGAAGAGAAAACCTGGCTCACGGTGCCCCTAAGACCGAGATGTCCCATGGGCTACAGGGAATGGCCTACAAACCCCGCCTCTCAGAGGGAGTGGCTTTGGGGTTCCCAAGGTTGGTGGCTGTAATCCCCCACCCAACCTGGGCTTTGTGTTCTCAGCCCCGGAGAGGGGTGCCGGCTGACCGGAATCACAGGTTAGGGCGAGGCTCTGGGTCAGGTGGGCGTCCTGGCTTTGCTCTGACTGGCCGAGTTCGTCCTAGGTGGTGAAGGAGATGGACAACGAGAAGAGGATCCGACTGCTGCAGTTTGTCACTGGGACTTGCCGCCTGCCTGTTGGCGGATTTGCCGAACTCATTGGTACGTGTTCCCTCGCCCTGCTGGCGCCCTAGGGTGGGCCTGGGGGCCACTCCCAGGGTGTGAGTGAGTGGGCGGGGCCTGAGCCGTCTGTAGCGGGGAGTCAGGGTCCTGCCCATGGAAGGCGTGGTCCTGTTGCCTATGCTGTTTCTCTTTTGGATAACAGGTAGCAACGGACCGCAGAAATTTTGCATCGACAAGGTTGGCAAGGAAACCTGGCTGCCCAGAAGCCACACGTGGTAAGTGTGCTGGTTTTAGTGGGAGGTGGCCACAGTTCACAGGCCACACGAGCTCCTGAGGGCAGCCCTTTGGGTGGGGCGGCTTCAGGGACTTTGGCAACGTCTTTGTGGCTCTGGGGTTGGAGAGGAGGGGCCTCTGAGCTTCTGGCATTTGTGCCCGCAGTTCGTATCCCTCACCAAACACTTCATTCCAGTAGACAAAGAGCTGCTTCCCTTTGTGCCCTCTGCCCAGGCCCCCATTTCCCCATTTCCCCTGCTGCCCTGCCCTGTCTGCTGACCCTTCCAAGGACTAGGCACAGGAAGCATGAAGGCCTCACACAGCAGGGCTCTCAAGGGCTCTGTTCTGGCATCTGGCCACAGTGTGTGAGGGAACCACGGTCCCGTGAACTACTTTGATCCCACTCTGGCCAGGTTGGGGCAGGGCCGTGGAGCCCTGACCTCCCCTTGCTGACCGTTCTGCTTCCCTCTCTTAACAGTTTCAACCGCCTGGATCTCCCACCATATAAGAGCTACGAACAGCTGAAGGAGAAGCTGCTGTACGCCATCGAGGAGACTGAGGGCTTCGGACAGGAGTAACCGAGGCAGCCCCCTCCCACACCCCCCAGCGCACATGTAGTCATGAGTTCTTTCTGCCCTGAGAGGCCGGTGGCCACAGAGCTCCTGGGAGGCCCCCCCAGGTGGTGGCCGTGCATGGGACCACAGTGTCGTCAGGCTGGTGGTAGCAGAGTTGGACCTCAAGAGGCCCTGCCTGTCCCTTCCTTTCTCCTACCCACTGGTGGCAGTCTGGAGTAAAGCCCCCATGTCACCTTTGGCCCCGTCACCCACTGCAAAGTCTGGAGGCCTGACCTTCTCTGTAAGCTCTTCCTCCTTTCCCCTAAGCCCTTCGCTACGTATGCATGAGCGCGCAGGGAAGGGCGCCCTGTGCCGGAGAGCTGTGGCAGAAGCCCTGGTTCTCACGGGCCAGTTCGGCAAGGAGGAGACGGGCCGCTCACTCGGGGTAGCTCTTCTGGGCTGCGAAAGCCCAGGGTCTTTGCCAGTAAAAGAGGTCTTTTAAATAGAACTTTTCCAGTGATCTGCATAGAGTGGAGGTCTGAGGGAGAGAAACTCTTCCCGCACTGGAGAGAGCTCTGGGTGGAAGCCTGCTGCTGCCTGTCCCAGCGGGACCCAGCCACTGAGGCTGTGCAGCGAGGCCCATCTCTGCACTCGGTGTGGGACAGTTTGTTCTTTCCTGCAAATAAAGGGTTGTACCAGCTGCTCAGGTGTCGGGGGGTTGGAAACAACAAACTCCCTCAGACTTTCTTTTCCCTTTTTTATCAACCTGAGCATTTTGTGTGTAGGGTTACTTTGTGTTTTGATGTTGGTGTGCTGTTGTCACTCTCTGTCAAGGAGCTGGTACACCCGGAGTCGATGGGACCTGGAGGAACCCGACACCATTGGTCCAAGAACTTCCCAAACAGCTGCTCCTTTTAGGAACCTGCTTAGCAGTTCTGTGAGCAAGGCAGGCCCGACCCGGCGGCCCAGCTTCACAGCGGCCTAGTCCCCAAGCCCTGACAGAGAGGGGAGGGGATGGCGTCCCAGGTGTCACCCAACCTAGTCCCCAAGCCCTGACAGAGAGGGGAGGGGATGGCGTCCTAGGTGTCACCCAACCTAGTCCCCAAGCCCTGACAGAGGGGAGGGGATGGCGTCCCAGGTGTCACCCAACCTTGCCGCATTCGATAGAGAACTCCCTTTCCTAGATGTAGATGTCCAGCAGCCCCGAGTGATGGAGCATGTGGGGGGGGGGGGAGCCCTGTCATTCCCCAGCGGCCTCTGAGGCTACAGGCAGGTCCATTAGTCTCCTGTTGAGAATGCAGTGTGTGCAGCTGCCCTAGAGCACGTTCATCCTGCCCGGGTGAACTTTGTCTGCCCGGAGGCTTTGTCTGCCCACGGAGGTCAGCGGAAGGGCCTCGAGCTGCCGCACACGGTCTGACTTGGTGTCTGGAGCCCCCGCCAGCCTCTGACATGGGCGGTCCGCCACGTGTGGAGATGTGTAAAGGCGAACACGCTCCTCTGGGATACTGGCGCTGTGGTGGTTCTGAGCTCCCTGGTCTAGGCCCCCGGGGCTTTCATGCTGCGCACCAGCTGCAGACTAGCTTGAGCTTCCTAGGACCCCAGGCAGGCCCACAGACCAGTCACGGGGCCTTCTTAGGACTGGCACACATCCCCAGACCCTTGTCCTTCCCCGCCCCAGCCCATGGAGGGACAGCCCGTGTCCAGTTGCGTGTGCTGATTTGAGTGGCTTGGCTCACTGGAGCTCAACCTGTTCTCTTTCCTGGAGTTATTTGCTGTGCTTCCCTGCAGTGTCCCTCTCTCCTGGGGGGTTGGGGTGCAAGCTGCTGTGTGGGGTTTGGAAGCCTGAGACTCCTAGGTATTCCGAGTGTGTTCATGTGTGTGCATGTGTGTACATACATGTATATAACTGAGGTGTTGTGTAGAGTGTCCTTCGGTAGCTCTGGGTTGGTCAGCAGATGGTTTTGTAATGCCTTCCCCCTTGCCTTGGTATTGCCAGTTTCTCGTGCAATAAACAATCAGCAGTTGTGGGCAGCGTTGGTGTGGATGTCTGCACGATCGCTGTGCTCGGGACGAGAGGCTTCTGGGCCCCCCTCCAGGCCCAGACAGGGGTGGAAATTCCATGACCTTGCTGGTATCAGGAATGTGTGTGTTATTAACTGAGACAGTCACACTTCTTGTGGGTGGCTGAGTCCTTGTGTAGGGATCATGGGGGTGGCCCTTGGTCAGGGTTGGATGCCCTCACTGCTCCCCGCCCCCCCAGGCCAGGGTTTCTGTGAACAGTTGTTGCGGGGCCAGAACATGAACTGTTGTGGCTGCAGGTCCGGTGGGTTTTGGAAACCAGCTTCTGGGGACCGTGTCTGGGCAGTTGTTCATTTGAGAAACATTTACTGAGTCTCACCATGATAGAGGGATGCCATGATCTTGAGCTAATGGTCATACGAGGTCTTGCTCCCCACTTTTTGAACACTTAAGGATTCACATGGGACAGATCACCAGGGTGTTGCGTCTTAAGGCATTTGACATGGAAATGACATTGATCAAGCCTTACCCTGATCGTGCCTGTTCTCAAGGGAGGCAGAGATGTTCAGATTGGTTCTTCCCTGGAGTTTGCTCGGGGAGTTCACTGCACCCCTCCAAAGCCTTTTCCCACTTGACAGAGCAAAGCTGTGCTTTGAGAACATTACTGAAAGAAGTCTACACATACGCAAATATCCCATAACAAATTCAAGTAAGACACAAGTAAGAAACTGTTCTCCCCAGTCTTACCTCGGAAATGACTGCTGTTAAGTTTGCTGCGGCCCTTCCATACTACTCACTGTGCCTACGCAGATCGTATATACATATCACTTTTAAATATACCAAAAATGGGATCTTATCTATGCTAACCACTTGTCTCATTCAACAAGGTGTTTGGGAAACCTTTCCATCTTCCTCAACATAGGTCTAAATGATTCTTTAACTACTGCATATAGTTCCTATGGTTCCTATGATATGCCCATCTCCATCCTAAGGGGCATTAGGGTTGTGTCCAACAGTTTGCTCTTGGCTGCACCCCTTCAGCGAATGCCCTTTGGCGGGTCTTGTGCCCTGGTGCTGCTCTTCCAGGAGGGGGCAGTCCTGGAAGTTGGAAGTAAAGTTACCTTCACTTTTACTTAAAAATTTTTTTAAAAGTTTTAAAATTCAAAGATACATAGGGTCTACAGTGAAAGGCTACCACCAACCCTCCCCTTACTCTTGTTCCTCTGATCATCTGCTAGAGGCTAGGATTGCTAGTTTCTTTTGTATCTTTCTGGATACAACTTTAAACCCCCAACAGAGTCTACCCCATTGCCTGTAGAAAGGTTCCTGTGTTCCTAGCCTTAGCAATGGACAGGGTCCCTTGCCACCCCACTTTGAGCAGTGCATCTGAGCTCCCCTGGCTGTCCTTCCAGCTCTCCGTCTGCATTCCTTCTCCTGACTTTGGGTAGCTGTCCTTTTACTTCTACACAAGTTCTTTTTTTTTTTTTTTTTTCTTTTAACATTGTTTTGTGCAATCACAATTAAATCATCTGTACTTTTTCTAAAGGTTTATTAAAAAAGCTGAAAAGTAACAAAAGTAACAAAAGACATCTATAATACTATGATACTATAAATATATATTGTTTGCTCCAGAATTAATAGTATAATATAATACAGTTTTTTCTTCCTCATCCAGTCTCTCACCCTGGGTGGGGGGCGGGTGGTTCTAAGTACCTCTCTTTGCTTTTCCTATATCCTCAATTTCTTTTTTCCTTATTTGAAAGTGTTTCAAACAGAATTAGGCAGGCAGAGAGGCCCCCCTACCCCTACACTCTGTAAGAAGTTCTGATGTAGTCAAAGCTATATGATTATTTTGGAAGTAAAGTGAGCTGATAGGACTTCCTTTATTGCCAGAGATCTCCAGTGGGTCTCCCAGGTGTCAGTGAGACTTTATATAAGGTGGGACCTTCGTGGATCTGGAGTCTCAGTTCTTGCTACCCCACTGGCATTCTGTATTGGGGCTTACATCACCCTTCTAGAAAAACCCTGAAGATCTCTGTGTCTCTGTTTAGAGGTATGCTTACAACAGCAAGCTCTCCTGGTTCTTCAGCTAGACTTGGCATCAGTAAGGCCCCAGCCCCACTGAAGAAAATGAGTTAGTGCCTTAAGTTCTTATCCCACCTCATATCCCTATGGTCTACCCTGTGAATCCAATATTTCAATATCCTTTTACTTATCAGGACCCTGTGATTCTGAGCTTGATTAAAGTGTCCCAGTCTGGCTCACTTTTCTATAGCCTGTGCTTTATGAGTCCGCCTTCAGCCGACTCACATCGGAAAATGTGAGTTCTTTGGCGTACTTTTATCCGTACCATTTGAACATCATGGATTCGGGGTCTAACTCGGACTCAGTTGGTCCCAGAGACAGCAATCATTATTTTCTTAGATGCCTGTCAGTTTTGGCCCCTTCAACTTGCCTCTTTCGGATGTCTTTGATGATCTCTATGATACTCTATTCCCAACTTCAGTACTATCACCCCAACACAGAATCAACTCTTCTTTGTTCTTTTCAGAGTTTATAAAGTCAGTGTTAGAAACCAAAATGTGTTCTGTCGAGATGGTGCAGTAAATTCACGACTTGGCCAACCTCTCTGTTACGAACATATAATAAAGACACATAAAATATAACAAGAGAAACCCCAAAAGGCTTGTTCAAAAACAAGGGAGAGACTTCCAGGGGTCAGAAATAGAGCAAAACGCAAAATGTCGACCAAGATCCCGAGTCTGCTGGTGCACCCAGAGCCTTCCAGCCGTGCCCGGGTGTGCAGCTGCTGGGGGGTCAGGGGGTCTAAATAAGCTCCAATCTGGACGGGGCCTGAGCACCAGCCCAGTGCTCCCTCCTGTTTCATGAAAAGTGGCCAACCAGCAAACTGCCACAAAACCCAGCTGCCTCTGCTATATACTGGGCCATGGCTTTGAAAAAGATGGAGGCAGAAACTCATCAAGACAAACCATCCAGGGATCCAGCCTGAATCTGTGATATTCCTAGGTACGCCCAGGCCGGGGCCCAGACTGCCACTCAGAAGATAAGGCTGTCGAATGGATGCCCAGCAGGACAGGAGGAGATAGCTGCAACACCATTAGGAAAAAGCACACACACAGGGAGACGACAACTCCTTCCCTAATCTTCGTGGTTCTCCCTATTTCAGAAGACAGTCCTCGATGGTCTCTTGCCTGCTGGTCTTTGCTGTAAG